GAATTCATTAGAACTCAAATTTCTTAAAAGTCGAACCAACTAAAAAATTACCTTGAGCTGGATCTGAATCTCAGAAGTCAAACCGTGAACGCCGACCTAAGATAACTTGTATGCGCGGGGAAATGAGTCATGCGGCACGTCTCTCAGCGGAAACAAAGGGTAAAGCTTCAGTCTCAGCCTCGCATTAGCTGTGATAGCACCGTGCATATTTACACTAACAATACATATATTTAGACAGTAAAAATACATTTAGACAATGATTATTAATATTAATAATAAACCATGAATACGTTTAATTATAATAATATTGTTGTGCCGACCTGGGACGGAACGGAGACAAAGGCGCAGACATCAGGGTATCGGGGAATACGGGGTTTAATTACAGGTAAGGCAGGCAAAACGCAGACGGACAATACAATGACCGGACGGGGGAAACAAACTGAAACGCGGACTAAATACAAAGGACTAATGACAATAACCAGAAACAACTGATCAAACGGGGATTCCACACGGGGTTAACGAGGGGGCGTGGCACACGGAAGGAGCGGACGATCTGGGCAGGACACATTGTTTGGATACATTTATTTTCTTACTTTACAAATTACTGTTTTGATAAATGTGCTTAGATGTGTTTAGTACAGTATATGCTCTTCTTGTTTTATACCGTTCATTTTGTGTTTAAATGCTAAAAAAACATATTTAGGTGTAATTTTTGGGGGCCGGGAACCAATTAATTGGTTTTCCATTATTTCTTATGGGGAAAATTCGATCAGAATTCGAACTTTTTAGGATTCGATCCGGAGTTCTGAACGGATTAAATTCGAATTCTGAGATACCACTGTATAAACATTTATATAAGGACAAAGGCATACTGTAGAGGTCAGTATCCATCCATCACCTATAAGATCTCTGCCCCAAAGCTTGCCCTGTTGTCAAGCGCACAGAGATCCTCGATGAGCGCCAGGGGTCCCTGTACCCCCATCGCTCATCCAACCTCATCCATGTTTTTGGGGAGCAGCATATATATATATATAACTTTATACTCCACCGGTAACGCGAACCGGTTGTGCGTCGCCGCGGCGAACAGAAACCGTATCAGAAAGTAGGAAGAAGCGCGAGACGGAATCTGCTTTTTCTACTCGGGGACCCCGCGCGCCCCTGTTCCGCCATCGATCCCTGAATCAGACCGGCCTCTTAGGGGAATTGGGTGTGTAATCTCCAAAGAGAAGTGAACCTTGATGATTGTAATCGGCAGATATTGTTATCGATTCTCTGCCTTTATTCAATTGTCCACTGAAAAGGGGGGGGGGCACCGTTCTTTTCCACCCGAATCGCCTCCCTTCTGCTTCGCCCGCGGCCCCCGCTACCCGTCCTGTACTTAATGCACTTTCCCCTCATTACAGAGCACTGGCATTTCCAACTTGGGCTTGTTGACATGGCCGTCCGTGCTCCTCCCTGGCCGCGGTGATTAAATAACAGGTCAGTCGCTGCGCATTACCGCATCTTTCGATTTAATCAAATCTACGAATTAATGATCGTAACGGGATTTGCGGACGTCCCATCGGCGGCGCAAAGCTCCTTAATTCGGGCTGATCTCCTCGCGTATTAGATTACGAGATGAACAAAGGAACCCTGCATCCTGACTGTTTTACATTAACCTTCCGCATTTCCCTAAAGTTGCCCTCATCCATCCCGCCGAGCTCAGCCGACGTCAATTATACGGAGATCGCCGCCCATTAACTATTAACAGAAGCCCCACATAGATGCATAAAATGGGCATGTTTCTGTAAAAGACTCGACCCAGTTCTCTGATAAATTGCTGCCTTTCATCTGTTTATACCCGTGCAGGCTTCTTGCCGAACAGATACTGCACCCTTCTGCATGTCTACTTCCACTGGATGCGGCACATAACGTCAAACGGTCGACAGCAACCCCTATACGTTTCTATACATATTTCCATATATATCCATTATGCATTCTGTACATACTTCCTCTTATAGTCATCCGATTTCTTCATTCTCCTAACAGGCACAAGACGTTCAGAAGCAGCTCTGTAATTGACCGAAGTGTGCAAATTGTGATTGTGGAGGACTGAGGTTTATTTTTCTCAGCAGTATTTGTGCCTGTAACTTAAATACATGTCATAAGTGAAAACCCAGCTGAGATTCAGGCTTTCCTTCAAAAGCTTATGAAAATAGCACAGCAAACAATACCTGCAGGTTAAGGCTCAGGTTGATGCTCTGCGGAGTTTGGGGCTTGTTCTTGAAATCAAGAAAGGGTCTTATTTTAAATCAGGGCAGAGCGGCAGTATCCTGGCTCAGGGAGGCACACACTGTACTGCACGCGCCTTCAGGACTGGATACCTATCCATCCATCTTCCCGCTTCATATCCAGGACAAGGTTATAGGGAGGAGGTCGACAGCCTGTCTAAGGCAGCTTAGGGCAGGGGAACGCCCTGGATAAGGTGTCGGGCCATTGTAGGGTCTGCACACACTACAGACCATGTAGGCTAATTAGCGTCCCTAACTGCGCGGGCACACACATTCACGTTAAGGACGAGAAAGAGACGTATTAAAGAAACGTATGCGAGTGTTTTGCTGCTGCCTGCAGATAATTAAAAACTGAAATCAACATGATTAAAATAAGGCTTTGATATTTTATTAACGGAGAAAAACGGAGGCACATTAAGCGCGTTAAGCCCGGTAAGCCTACTAAATATTGAGATTAATCTCAATCGGGATATCAGCAGCAGAATAGAGGCTGGAAAGCCCACGCGCTGGAAGGACTCACGCGTGGCAATGAGTCCGCAGCTCGCTGCCGCCGGCTGGTTTCCACAGCTGAAAGGTACACCGTTTTTAGATTTGATTCTGAGAGAGCCCTGTCACCTCCATCCGTTTGGACTCGTTTTCACTCGAGCCGCATTCATTTCCAGACCTAGAGCAAGACAAAGTTTTAATGAAAAACAAGAGCCCCGGCAATATTATAATCCCACATTCAGCACAATCGCAAATGTGAAATAATTCGGAAATGTCACTCGGTTGATGTATTCCACCTGGGCCTAAGATGCTTCCCTCTGTTTTTAATTCATCATTGCCTGTCTTTCAAACAACAGAAAGAAATTAAAGACTGCACGGCAATGCCTGCATCTTTCTGCTTCTGCCACACTGGGAAATATACAACGGTGACCATTATTATAGCACAGCTTGATTCAATAACAGGGGGAAAAGTCAAAACGAATGCGAAGAAAAGATGATTTGTCAAATGCAATTTTTCCAGATCACCAAATGCACAGGTAGTAATTGACATCTATAATCTATATATAGCTTAAGGAAGCACAGGCTTGCGTCTGGAAATCAACTCAAATTCAATATGACTGTTTCTCTTCCTCCTTAAAGTGCATCTGGATAGTAAACTCTGGTTGCTGCATCGTAGATTCGGTTTCTCTAATTGCTTGTTTCACTAACGGCGTCTGTCGCCACGATTAAATCTGCTCTTTCACCCCCTGCTTCATGAGTAATTATCTTCGCCTTCGACTCGCCGCCCTCCGCCTGGAAACCACGCGGGTTTATCTTTCATTCCGTAGCGCCGGGGTAAGGGCGCAGAATTAACCCAAAATATAATTAATAAACAGAAATGACAGGCAATCTCCAGTAGCGTGCGGGGGTCCAGGAAGGTACACGGCAAATCTGTTATGGCAGCAGCTGCCTGTTCATCTGTTGCATTACTTTTTAAACCCTCTTTCACCCCTGCTTTTAATTGAACCTACCGAGTTTTGTTAAAAGTATACGTGTTTGACCCATTGCCGTAGGCTTGTTTTTTTTTTTTTTTAAATCACTTACCAAAAAAAGGAGCCCACCCTCTCGCAACATAATCACCGCAGTGTATGCATGATTGATGATCATTTGCACAATGCAGTTCAAGCGGATTCAAACACGCCGTTCGAACCTATGAATAATGAAATAGAATGCTGCCCTCTGCTGGCAACTTTAAGACTAAATCAGAGTCGCTAATACAGGTCATCGTGACAAAGCCTACCCAGGTACACAAGTATATACCCATTAGGCAAAAACAGAGAGAGATAAATAACGAAAGCTCACGAAACAGTTTTTTTCCTGTTTAAAATCCCCACTCCATCAGAAATACTGGTTCGAAAGGTTAAACATGAAATAATAATTAGGATCTTATAGCAATCAGCCCAGTCCACACACAGGCAACAGAAGATGTTCCTTCATAGATACTGCATGAAACAAGTTCACAATCACTTGCATCAAGGTTATGTCAACTATTACCCTCTGAGAAAAATCACAGTTAATCAAGATGTATTGCATCCACACCCCTCTGCCAGGCACAGACAGCTTATCACCTAGGTGGTGACCTAGTGTCACACGCACTATTGGTCTCAAGTGACCGGGTCTGCGCAACCTTCTGGGCTGGACGTGTCGAGCGTCAGCTCTGGGGATATAACAGAAAGCCTCAGGACAAGCCTTTACTGACCTTCCTCTCAAATATTTACATGCAGGGATGCGTAGCGGTTTGTTTGGCAGCCGAACAGGGGGCCATTTCGCTTACATGAGTACAGAACAGCTGGTGCTTCTAAAGCAAAATGCTGGAATTGCTGAAATAGAAACCAAATTTTCACTGACACATCACAAGGCAGGCAAGCTTTACTCATTGTGGGAACTGCTGTGATGTGCATTAGTTTAAACAGACTCTGAAACACCTTAATATCTGGTCTCCATAACGGCGAGACGGCTTTATTGAAACGGGTACGTAGTCATCGTAACGTTTTTGGCTGGATGTACTGCTTCAAAGCATTTCTAATAGTTTTCAGTGATATAATTCACTGGATATGTAATGCAAATCTCATCACAATACAAGTGCTCTGTAGTATTTTCATTATTTGTTTTTCAAACTCAGAATCATCTCCAGCAGCCCTATGGAACAATAAGTGCATAACAACAAATGTCAGACTCTGTATTGCAGCAGTAAACTCCACACTGTAATAATAATACTGTATTTATTACATACATAACACAGAGAGTTCACTGTATCTGTTAGGAAGGACTGAACAATGTCAGGAAGATACGGTGAGTAAGAAATCATCACACAAGGTCTCTCACACAAAGAAAAAGTTACAAAAAAAGTTTCAATAGCAATGTTACAGGTGTAAGCAAAAGTTTAAAAGTCGCACTCTGTAAAAGTGCTTTTAAAATTCATCTCTCCGAGTCATTCAAGTCATAACGCACATAATCCTCACCAGCCTGAGTTTCAGAACCACCGTTTAGCAGAAAAACATAATTCTTTGCAGGAACTCAGTGTCGCACGAGACCGCCAGCTCGCCGACGTTTGCACTGCATTATAGTGTCTCCCAAGTCCTTTAAGCACCCTAAATTTCAAACCATAAAATGGATTAATTACCCACATCCAGTAGAGTATGTATATTCCTGACAATCATAAAGTGCATATAATTTACAGGGTGCGTCTATGACAGGCTTAGGTGACAGACATCGGAGACCGCCAGGACTGAGCTAGCTTGTCACGTGATCCGCGGGCGTTACTAGTCACCGAGTTCCATCGTCCTCTTTCCGGAGCAGCGAGGAGGCGAACAGCTTCACCAGCCAAACACGTACTCCATGGCTTTGGTGACGAAACTGTCGTCTTTCTTGGGTGTCTGCTTGTCCGAAATCACCTGTTAAAGAAAAACAGGCTTATTACCAACTTAGCAGGTTATTATTAGCTAGACATGCTAGACAAAGGCTGACATTCATGCAAGTTACTGCCCACCTCCCAAAACCAGCAGTTTCTTAGATGCAAGTAGCACCTGTGTAGACATATTACCCGTAGTCAAGGTGGCAACGAGCACCCTTGTGCACAAGGCAGTGCTGCTGCCTGTTTTTCACAAGTCTTCCCACAAGCCACACATTTACCTGGTAGTCACTGCTGGATGCCTTGTAAGCTGCACTGAGGGGCCTCATGGCAGGACGAGGTGTGGAGACAGGCATGCTGGGAGTGCCAGCCGCCTTCACCGGGGGGGTGAACACAGAGCTGGAGGAAGAGGAGGCTTTCTCTGAGCTCTCCATCACATTCTGTGCAGAGGGAGGGAGGGAGGGAGAGAGAGAGGGAGGATGGGGCCAGTATTAAAAATGTAAGAATCCCAGCGAGACAAACCCTATCCAGCGTTTTACTTCTCCGAGTACTCAGCGAAAAGCCCAATAAAGAAAGAAGATCTACTCCACTAATCCTGCCATCCGCCCCCAAGATAAAATTAAACTTTTAATAGTGTAAAAAAATAGGCCTTGTCCTTTCGGAAGGTTTCATCAGCGTGCAGGAACCCCGCAGCAGGCTGTGGGACGTGATCTCAGCGTACCTTGTCTATACAGGGCTTGACCCCGATCATGATCGCCTCGCCGAAGACTTTCCCATCCTTACTAAGTGCCTTTCTAGCCTGCAGCTTGGACTGATACTGAATGTGCATCCAGTTGCCGGTGTTGGACATCTGTTTTGGGTAAGAAATATTAACCATCAGGACCAAGCTAACGTGCAGGGCTAATGTCTCACAGATTTAAAAGGAATATTAACACGTTCATCTTCTAGCCTCTTGCAATATAAGTTCTTACCACATGCTTTAATATATTGCCGTACTGTGCAAACTGTAGGAGGATGTAGGAAGCGGACGCGGGTGGAAAGCTATGGGGGGAATAAGACAAAGTCAAATGGCTCACACTGCTTATGCAAAACACGGAGCAAATGCTTCATTCAGGTGTTTAAAAGAGACGGGCACAAACTTACCCAAAAACCGTGACCCACGTTTCGTCCAGCTGGTCCTCGGAGGAGAGGGCTTCCCCTTGCGTGTAAAACGGATCAGCTTGTGCTGGCGACAGTGTCGATTTCCTCTGCTGCACTAAGCTTGCAGGACTAAACACACTAGAAGCTAGCGGAGAGATTAATAAAGCAAATATGTATGCCGGAGAGGTAAGGTGTTTATTAGAAAATGAACTATACGTTTGTGTGTGTATATGTGTACGCGCACACGCACGTACATGCACTTATATACACATACACACACTGACTCACATGTCCCTGGTGTGTTGGCCATCAAACCGGACAGTGGTGTCTGCATCACGGTGAAGGGCTGGGGGAGAGAATCGGACATGTACGTGGAAGCATTCCATCTGGTGAACACCAGGCTGAGGCACAGCACAGGCATGCGCTTACCTGCTTACGGGAGCTCAGCGGGGACAACCCAACCCCAGGCCCAGCCAGGTCATCGTAGATGCTTCTCACAGGTGGAGCCCCACTCTTATCCTTAGGTGTGGGGACCACCGGCTGCGGGGGTGACCCCACTGTCAAGAAAACAAAGGAGGTGCTCTCACTAACCCAAATTCCTTAATGCATAACAGAGTTAGGACATTTTATCATATATAGGTTCTCAAAACTGCGCCAATGAGACCTTGAGGTCTGACAAACACCTCCAGTGGGAGCCCTGGTCCTTGTGGGCCACACTGCGGAGACAGACTTGGCTAACATGCCCAGCATTAAAACCCTGAGGTACAGGAAACCTCCAAAGTCAACCAGCAACACGTAGGCGAATAGGGCTGCGCGGTACCACATCGCAGTGTAGTTGTCATTTTACGGCGCATGCACAATAATCACCAAGGCTTTACACATTTACGCAGACCCCAGATTTTCGCTACTATATAGACGTTTACCAATGGCCACAACTTGGTAAGCAGATTAGTAGTGCACCTAAAACATTAATGAGAGGCGTATTGTGATGCCCAAAAGTAAATAAGTAAATGTCCGCATAGTAGTGAAAAGCCGGCGTCCGGAGAGATGTTTACGCCCGTCATCTGAAGCCCTGGTGAATATTGAGCATGTGCCTTATGATTGCTGTGATATTGTGCAGCTCTAAACAGCTGTTTGGACATGTGTGTTCATGTTACTCACTGGGACAATCCTCACCAGAGCAACACAAGTTCCTGTTCATAAGATACGGCTAATATTCGCATTTGAAGACGATTACAAAGAATATCATAGTTCTCAATCCGGCAATAGTCAAGAGGCAGCAAATTCATGCTAGAGGGAAACATCCAAATGCACTTCAGGTGTTGGGCCTAAAGTGCAGCTAATTAGGCCCAGAAGCTTTTCCCAGGCCCTTTCTGTTACAAACAGGAGGCCGAAGGACTTCACGACAACTGAAACAGAAAAATCTTTTACCTAACATATGCGTAACAGCAAATTAATTGAATGGTTGAGCAGTTTCTCAATACAGAACACCGACCAGTCACTATTCAATAGTGCTAGCTGGGCACTATTACTGCAGTACTGGGCCAGAGATTAATAATCACAATGGAAACAAGCGTTCCACCACAATGATTTAAAAAATGTATCTAAGCATCTAAAAAAAATGGTCATATTTTGAAGCCAAAGACAGGCAAATAGAATTTACAATGCAGTATACTGCTTGCTTACAGACACGCAGAACTACAGCGTATCTAGAACATTACACCATCAACCTTACCTGCCAAGAGAGGAGAGCGCACGTCCATCCCGCCCCCTGCTCCACCAAACGTCCGAGGCTGGGGAGTGACAGGAGCTGGCAGGTCTCCCATCAGAAACCCAGGCAGGAACTGGGCGCCGGGCCCAGGTTTGGGAGAAGTGGGGGAGCCGAGCGTCATCGGTTCTGTACCGGGTACCAGGACAAAGAAAGTAAACAACCTCGTAGTGCAAATTTTTTCCCCGACACGGACAGTACTGCTGAGCGAGTCCCGAGGGCCGCGCAAAGGCGTGAAAGCATCCCGGGAAGCGGGGCGCGTGGGTCCGCCGATATGCGCGCGCGCCCTGAAAGCGGCGCAGAACGCGCCGACGCCTTTTAAAGCCGCACTACAGAAGCGCCGGGTCGATCTCGCCGCCGAGACCGGCGTGCAGCTAACAACCACGGCACTGTGTATTCAAAATGCATCACGCAAACATTGTGACCCATTTTAAGAGCAAGATTATATATTTTTCTCCAACTTTATTCTCCGCTAAAGTTATCTAAAAGGCATCTAATTAACGACTGCTGTGCCTTTTTTTTTCCAGCCGACTAGCCTGCAAGTCAGCACTCTGTTTTATTCACAGCTGTGTACAAGATGAAAAGACTGACCTTGAAACTCCATTTCCACCGGCCTCTGTTACTGATAAACGTATCCAGAACCCTCCTGTGAACGCTGTCGAAAACCAGCAAAAAAAAAAGTGTATATAAATGAGCGCAGAGTTGGCTTTTCAAAAAGTGGCGGAAATAGCGTGTCCGGCAACGGCGCGGAGGATTTCAGGAAATGACGTCACCCAGCGGATGCAGGGGCTCATGAACCGGTTCTGCGCGCCGCGTGCATGTGTTACATCAGTCTTATTTTAGCATGAACACAAACTTTCCTAATATGAACCAAACAGAAAGTCTTTATACTGTTGACATCTACAATAATATCTACTTCATATCTAATTCCTTAGTTACTTCTTTTGCAAGCTAAAGCTATGGAATACGTGGGTAAATTAATACATGGGTCATCGAATTGAATCCACTCATATTATATTAATTATATTATATTATATTATTATCACAATTTCTAAAGGGTTTAGATAGCCACTCTTTCACAGTGACTGGCTTTAGTGATTGGCTGAGAAGAACGTGACGGCGTCCCTACGTTTCTCCAGGCTAACGAGCGGTTTCATTACTACTGCTTCGAACTATCTGCGTCGTTTAGAGAGCTGGTTATGGAAATATGAAATTTAATTTGTAAATCTGAAGGCCAGCTTCATGATTTAATAATTGTTTACAGCGGGTTTTAGTTTCGCATCACTTTCGGTACATTCTGAAAGGCGTTTAGGTACGTGGAACAAAGGAATGGTTGCCTGCTACTTTTCTCCATACAACCTGTGCATAACCAGAATAGTTTTACATAGTTGGATTTCCGGTAAGATTGTAGCAATTTTAGTTGATATCGCGTTTGCCGACAATTTCCAAATTAACAATTGCCTCAGTGTTATTGTATGCTCCCAGTCCGAAGATCTCTATCATTATTAACCAAATAAAATGTTACCATCTGTAGGCTTATATTTGTATTTACATGCTGATGACAATTAATGTAACATCCACTTATGTATGAGCGCTTGCTTTACTTGTGTTTTCCTACGGTAGGGTCTCCGACGCGGTTCTTATATACGAAATGCGGATAATATATTTCTATTTCCCGTGGAGGACCTTACAGTGATTTCTTATGATGAGGCTGCTCCAAGGCGCCACGAAGGATCAAGTGACCGGAATGTCTCGCTGTAAACCGTGGCTGGCCTTATTGGTCATAACGTTTCTGGCAGCTTTCATCTCCGCAGCTGAGAATTATTATGCATTCCTCGGAGTTTCCAGAGAGGCATCCACCAGAGACATTAGACGGGCTTTTAAGAAGCTCGCTCTGACCATGCACCCTGATAAAAACCCAGTGAGTACGTCACCATTGCATTTCAAGTCTATATACAATATACTCCGTCTAATGCACTTTCACTCCCTCCCAGAACGACCAAGATGCCCATGACCGATTCCATAAGGCTAGTCAGGTGTATGAGGTATTAAAGGATGACGATCTGAGGATGAACTATGAAAGATTTGGAGAGAAGGGACTGGAAGACAGCAACCACAGCAGTGGATATGAAACATATGATTTTTACAGGAATGACTTTGGTATGTAATATAATGTAATGTGCCTTGGAGATGTCCTAAAAGAAATTCTCACAACTGAATCGGAAATATAAGCCATCAAAAGGAAAAAGATGGGGCAAAAGTATATTCATATTTCTTAAAACAAAAAGATACAAGATCATGTGTGTGTCATTTTAATTTAAAAGTATTAAAGTAATGATTTATTTGCCTGACTTTATATGTACTAATTGTAACACATTTTGTTCCAAAAGGCATCTACGATGACGACCTTGAGATAATTACTTTAGACAGCAGAGAATTTGGTAAGTGATTTCCCCCCCCCCCCCCCCCCCCGCATCGCACTTCTCAGTATGACATCCACACCTTCCCCACGATGATGGTGTTCAACCAGTCCAGCATCTCAGAGTTCGAGGGCTACCACACGGCAGAGGGCGTCATGGAGTTTTTGGAGGTGAGGTGCTCGGGTTCGCGTGCATCCTGGGTTTTGCATGGGGCCGCCGCAGTTGTCTGTCTCACACTGTGCTATCCTGCCCCCCTCCCCCCCCCCAAACTCAGCACCTGGCCAGCCCCGCAGTGGTCACCCTGACGCCAGACTCCTTCCAGAAGCTGGTGAAGCAGGGGGGGCCTGATGAGACGTGGTTGGTGGCCTTCTTCATGCCGTGGTGCCAGCACTGCCTGGCGTTGCTTCCTGAGTGGAGGAAGCTGGCGCAGGTACGAGCGCCGGGGGGGGGGGGGGGGGGGGGGGCTGGGTGAGCGGGCTGCTCCCCGCTGGTGGTTAGTTTTATTTGTTCACTGCTGTGTTCTGCCAGCTTCAGACCTGCAATATCCTTTGGGATTAATGAAGTATGTATGTGTGTATACATGTAATCTGTCCTGTCTATCTGTCTGTCTGTCCATCCAATCATCACCCCCCCCCCCCCCAAATAAATACACCTTTGTAGTCTAGACCTTTCACTTATCTCCCCCCACCCCCACCTTCACATATCACACTCTCTCCTGCTCCTCGGTCTGGTCTAATTTCTTTCCAGGATTATTTACGTCACGTTACATTCCTTCCACTTCTGGGAGGTGCTGTATGGCTCAGCGGGTTCGGATGCCGTGCCGGTAATCGGAAGGTTGCTGACTTAAGTCCCAGGGTCAGCAGAGTGGTTGCACCATTGGGCCCCTGAGTGAGCCCCTTAATCCCCAGGGCTCCAGGGACTGACTCTGCCTGCTTTCTCAGCTGTGCTTTTGCTCAGTTAATAAATATACATGTGACAAGTTCTCAATTTACAGACTTGTTTCCCATCATTCATATCTTATGTGTGTGCTTCCAGATGGTTGACGGGATAGTTAAGGTGGGCACCGTGGACTGCAACAAGCATCGGTCCTTCTGCCGGCATGAGGACATCCTGGGCTACCCTGAGATCCGCCTCTTCCCACAGAACGCCAGCCGCTGGGACCAGCACCAGTCAGTAGCAACGTCATATAGACTATTGGGATGGATTTAAATGAATTATTTCTCCATGAAATGATCTGAAGAAATGCATGTTTGTTCTGAGGCTGCTGGGTGTTTGGTCATCACTTGGGTCTCGAACAGGAGTTACACTGGCTGGAACAAAGACTCGCAGTCACTGAGATCGTGGGTCTTTGGGTGAGTGGGACCTCGTTATAGCTTCATATTTAAAAGAAAAAAAAAAAAAAAAGAAAACAAAGTCTGTTGGCTGTAGTCTGTCACTGCTCGCTGCCACCAGAATTTAATTAAGACTAAGGTTTCGTTAATCATTTATGAGTGGCCTAATGAAATCTTTAAATCAGGACAAACTTTATGCGATGATTAAATGATTAATGTCACGCTGGCTGTCCTCAGGTCCCTTCCAAGAGTGTCACAGGACCTGACTCCCAAAGACCTCCGAAGGCGGGTCTACGGCGGGAAGCAGCACTGGGTGCTTGACTTCTATACCCCCTGGTGTGTTCCTTGCCAGGAGTTTGCCCCCGAGTTCGAGCTCCTTGCCCATGTAAGAGCCTGTCCTGCGATACCTCTCCTAACATGCGCTGTTTTTAATGGGAGGGTAGCATGTGTCAGTGGGTTTTGATGCTGTGATCGGAAGGTCTTGGGTTTGAATCTCAGGGTTGGCAGAGTGACTTCACCATTGGATCCTTGAACAAGGCTCTTAACCCTTGACCGTACCTTTTCAAAAATAATAATGTATGTTGCTTTGGATAACAGCATCGTCCTCTATGAGAGTAAAGCCATTTGTCATTTGGAAATTCGCTCCCTTCTATGGTCTCTGCCCAGGTGATGAAGGGCAGTATCAGGGCGGGAAGGCTGGACTGCCAGGCCCATGCCCAGGTCTGCGAGAGAGCAGGCATCAAGGCTTACCCTACCATCCGCTTTTACCCCTACTCGGGGTCGGCCGTGGTAAGAAACGCCGGCCGAACATCTCCCCTGGCCACTCGCGGAAGGCTTGGACTTTCACGCTTGGCGCTTTGCTGCTCGTAATCCCTGGGGCCTGCGTCTGCCCCCCCCCCCCCACCCTACAGGACCAGGGTGGAGAGGATATTAACAGCAGAGATGCAAATGGGATCACCAGAGTTCTGCGACGGCGGCTGCAGCAGCTATCTGCAGACTCGCAGAGCAAGTTCTCCAAAGTCAAGGTAAGCCTCTTAGCTGGGCCCAGCAATTACCGCCGCTTTTAATCTCACCTTGTTAGTGGGGGATGGGGGAATTTTCTAAACTCAACACAGGTCTGGAAGTCCACAAGCTTAATTAAATGTGGTTTCTGCTCTTGGATTCCTCTGGGGGGGGAGCTTTAACGAGTTTTACAAATCCCCCCCGGGTTATTTGTATACTCTTCCCCCCCCCCCCCACTCTCCCTGAGAATTATCCTCGTCACTTATTTTAGTTTCGGCTGGGTTAACGGATTCACAATTAATATGATTCCGGTTTAAGTCTCAACTTGGTTGCACGAGTTGTCTTTCCTCCCTGCAGGATGAACTTTAGCGGGCAGGGGGCTGGATGGCAGGAGTCTGAAGCTTTCCCAGGCTTCTGTGCCGCCCATGCCGCTGGGGGCGATGATGTTTTTGGGAAACACGCCAGGTGGACATAGATTGGGGTCAACTGAGCTCTTGTGTTTTACTTGGAGTCAGTTTCTGTGGGGAATACAGACGATGGACGGCACTTCATGTGAATGTATCAGTCGGCTTCTCTTAAGGAGATAGTTGATAAAGTTGTTCCTAAGCAGGCATAATGTAATAGACCATAGTCTCCTACAGACACTTTCTCCATATTGTGACCTGTGATTAATGAGGCTCTGCTTCGATTGGCTGAGCCATAGAAATGTTGTCCAAATGCACCTTTAAGTCACCGATGTAATTAATGTAACCTTTTACTTTGCTCGATCATGCTTGATTGGGCCATTAGTAACGATAGGTATTGTATGTTTTTTTTTTTTCTTTCGGACTGGGTCCTCTGTAGTTTTTTTTTTGTCCTCCTCCAAACTGAACCCTTTCTGTCACTGTCTCAGTGAGATAAACAAAGCAATCCCTGAATTCTGTTATGCGTTCAGTGTTCGTTTTGGAGAATTTATGTTAGTTGCATTTCAAATGTTTATTTTGGAGAATTCGTGTTAGTTACGTTTCAAATCTTTGTTTTTCTTTTAACCAGCCAGCAAATAAATTTCTTACCTTAAAAATGCTTACTCAGTGTTTTCATTATATTCCATGTATCTGTATTCTGTCAGTGAGTTTTACTCAGTTTACAATGGAAATAGTAGCTAGATGGATCATAATTAAAATGGCGCAATAAAAAAGACAGGATGGTTTGACAGATTTATGTTATTCACAGATGTATACAATTATTTTGTTTGTGAATTCGATGTGTTTCTTAAAAATAACATGAAATTCAATTTATATTAATTTGGTTAGAGAAGAGTTTTCCTGAAGCCAGTAACTGTTTTTACCCTGTTGGTGCAGCTGGCTAATTTCTCTGTATTTCTGAAATGCTTTTCGCCTGAGGCTGCTCCAGTCGGTCCCTCTGAGTCCTGAACCTGTAACATGACTCTGTGCAGTTCTGCACTGTAAGGTGAAGCCCAATGCTACCCAATTCCTAGCGATTCTCTTTCATGCCAGGTAACTGATTCAGATGTAGGCCTCAGGGTGTGTGATAATTGACTGGAGACTGTAAGCTGTAGTACAGGTGTGGCTGGGTCTTACCTGCAGGGGGCAGTATTGGACAACAGTACTGAATATTACCACTAAAAAAAGTCACAGAAATCTTAGATATGGTAACATATGCAAAATTACATTAATATTCAATAATTAAAACACGTTTTCAGAACATAAAGAGGAAAAACTTGGTAACTGTATGCTTTGCCCTGAAACATAATCTCTACAGGGGCCATAGGGAAGGTTAATATGTTCCATTTTCATTTTAATTTGGGAAATTTAATTCAATTTTTGTGACTATGGACTTAACGCTTTTAAGAAAGGTAATAGCTGCTCCCTTAGAGGATAATCCTGTATTCATGCAAAAATCACTGTAATTCTGTTTTCTTCTTAAACAGACTCATGTTTTTTTTTTCCTTCATTGACTGGAGCCCCATAATTGCGCTGGGTCCAGAATTTGTAATCTCTCCACTTTAATCCTGAACGTAAAATACTTTGTTAAATGACATTCTGCTCTAGGGTGTTGCAGACCCTGTTTCTAAAAAGAGGTCTTCTCGTCTTGTCATAAGAAAATGATGTGAATGTGGATGAAGATAACTAATTTACAACAGGCATTTACATTTTAGAATGACAGATTCATATGAATGTTAGCATAAGTTACCTTGGCTTGGGTCCCTAATTGCGGTCCTGGAAGGCCAATCTGCAACACAATTTTCAGATTTTCCTCTCAAACACTTGATTCGGCTCCCCAGCTCCTCATGCCAGGTTTAGCAGGTGTGTTTGAGCAGGGAAATCTGCAGACTGACCCTTCAGGACCGTGACTGAGGAACCCTGCATTAAAGCAATATGTATTTTCAGTGCTTGTGACAGTATAGCTTGCCTACTTTGCATAGTCTAATCAGTATTTTGTGACCTTGTGCTTAAAACTATGTAGCTATTTAAGCTGCATTAAATTCTATTCAATGTTGTATAGATTTTAGTAAAACATTTGAACTATGAATTTGGGATTACTAGTCTTCTAATATAACTGCTTGAGAATACAGATTTAAGATTGGAACACTTGTTAAACTGGTGATGTGTTAAAAGCTCAGTAACTTCAGGCATGATGGTAGGTAAGTGAAACATGCAGGTCTGTCTATGGATGTTTTACTGAACACTGCAATGGAGGTGAAAATACCCCAGCTCTTCCAGTAGGGGGCAGCAAAGAGTAAGCATTGCGCTTTCTCTGATTATCAAACCAGGATCTGCTCTAGATAATACACCACAGGACAAGGCGTCCTGTGTGACACGACAACACCTTCTGTTTCTGCCCCCTGAACATCTCCTTTCATCCGCCTATTTCCCGTCTTATCCTCTTTCCGATGCCCTGTCGTGCTGCTTCTTGCCTCTCGCCCCCGGAGAAGCCCCCTCTCCACAGAAACGCAAACTGTTACCTGCCACGGGAGAGCCTTTCCTTGTATGGAAACATCAAAGTCCATGAGCAGGCCGCTGAGATATTGCAGTCTATATAAAATGCTGGTGCACAATCCGGCCATGCCTTTGCAGGATGGAGGCCTGCACTTTTGACTTTCTGTTCTGGTGACGGCAGTGTGACTCCGAACATTCGTTCTGTATTTATTTTCTTCTTCTCCAAAATGGAAAATCCCTGCTCGGACCCCTGGCAGCGGACTCAGTTGGCAGAGTGTCTCACGGTCTGGCGTCAGCGGTGTAACACCTTGTAAGCGCACTGCGGTTTTATTAGGGGAACACTGGGGTTCAGGGAAAACACACAATATACTATAAAAGCGGACAGCATTTAAAAGAGCAATGAATAATACCTTCAGTGATTTATCTCGCATGTAAAGTTTTATAATTCTCTCGGCAGTCACGGAAAAGCGCACCGATTGCTTTTAATATTTCATTTTCACTCTGGCTGTTTATGTCCCTTCAATAGCAACAGGGAAAAAAGGTTTTTTTTGCATTAAGTGGAAGGAAATTTACTCAGAGAAAACCAGATTATGAGTCACCCTCTGTTTGTATACTGTTCTGTTTAATGATACCTTAAGCTTTAAGTCTTTTGTTGCCTGAATATTTTTTATTTGATTAGTTATTGTACTTTCACTGTGATGTAAAGAGAACAGGTGTTCANCCCCCCCCCCCCCCCAATACTGAGGTTCTGAAATCTCCAGTAATCTGCAGTACAGCTTGTTACCATGGCACCTGAGGGGTCACTTATTTCAGGAAGCTTTTGTTTGGACACCCCCAGAGGAAAATGCTGAGAAATTCAACCTCGTTCCATTTTGAAAACGCCTTGTCAATTGCGGGCTGATCTGAATCCATTAGTGAAATTCTAGCATAGAAAGCAGGTATGTTTCTGCCGTTAAGAATCAGAATTGTTCTCTCTACAGATGCCGCAGTGAACTCTGGAGAGCTGTGGTTTGTGAATTTCTACCTCCCCCGCTGTCCTCACTGCCACGACTTGGCACCCACAGTAAGATAAAGGCACACACTGAAGTTTTATCTCGTTTATTTATCCCAGCTCCTGAGTAATATCTGCATCCAAGTCTTATCAGTCAATGTAAACCAGTTGACCAGCTAATATTAAATAAACATTTACAGTAATAATTTTAGCATACAAAATATTAATCCAGCTCGGAAAATGGTTAAAGCAGAGTCAGCTTGGTGACAGTTGGGGTCCCAGTTATGCCGATTTCATCGGTATTCCTTGGAAACACTAGTGAGACATTTATAAAGAATATGAAACGTATAAAAAGTCAACAGGATGACTGCATGACAATGCGGCTAACTTGGGGATTTAGCACAAGTTTAGGCTAGATCGTTAAAACCGATCAGGTTGGGTCGGGATGCAAGGCACCAAGATCTGGAAGGGCAGGAAAAAGTCTTTGAGTGACGCCAGATCTACGGCAGCGTTGTCCCGTGTACGTCAAGAGACAGATACCAGCAGTGTTGACGTTTAGTACAGCTAACTGGGCACGAACTGAGTGGTATCCAGTGTCTGTTCAATGACTCTGTTTCCTTGTTGTCAGTGGCGAGAGTTTGCCAAGGAGATGGACGGGCTGGTGAGGATTGGGGTTGTGAACTGCGAAGACAACGAAGTCCTGTGCCGCAGCAACGGCGTCAGCAGTTATCCGACACTCCTTGTTTTCAAAGAAGGAACAGTAAGTGTGAACACTCACGTGAGCTGCCATGTGGTCCGGCATTAGAATGACTGTGTCATCCTTCAGCAGAAGGCAGAGAGGTACTTTGGAAACAGATTGGAGGAGAGCTTGGTCAAGTTTGCAATGCGTTTTGTGAACAGCAAAGTGACAGAGCTGTGGCATGGTAAATATGTCATGGAATGGATCTTCTTAAAGATTTATTTAAGCTTTGTAGTTGTTCTACCACCTAAGCACTGAGTCGGGGTGTCTTTAGGAAATGTCTTCAATGAGATCGAAGTTGCATTCGCTTCTGGCATCGGATGGCTCATTACCTTCTGTGCGGAGACTGGTGGTAAGGTTGGATAACTCAGATTGAGAAGGATTCTAACAAATTTAATATTTGAAAAACATTTATTACACAAACAGAGCACATCTTTAAGTAAAAAGAAAGTAATGACAAGAAACATAAGAACATAAGAAATTTACAAATGAGAGGGGGCCATTCGGCCCATCAAGCTCGTTTGGGGAGAACTTAACTAATAGCTGAGAGTTGTTAAAATCTTATCTAGCTGTGATTTAAAGGAACCCAGGTACATGGAAACATCTGAATTTTCAAAAGTACCTCTTGAATAAATAGAAATTAGCTGTTGTGTGTGTGTTTTTATTTTTTATTTTTTACAGACTGTCTCTCATCAACAACAAGGCAGAAACTAGCCGGGATGCTGGTAAGCAACAAAGTATAGTTGACGTCCACCATGTTCACACAGAAATGGGTGCCTGATTGTTTTTTTAAGCAGTCAGCCATAAATGTTTGTGTTATGAACGCAGTGAGACTTGTCACAGGTCTTGCTGTGAGAGGTTTTTGGAGTTTGGTTCCACCTGTCCAGTGTTTCCTCAGGAGGGGCTGGTGAACGTTGGCTGGATGGACTGCATCAAGCACGCTGACCTTTGTGAAAACTTTGATGTGGCCTTCAGCTCCACAGCCTACTTCCCCCCCAGCAGCACCATGAAACAGAGGGACAGCGTGCTGGTAAAAGTCACGCCCCCCTCTCTGTCTATCTCCCGAAAGAGTAGAAGGCCATTTCCTTTGAGGGCTTCGGTCAGGACTCGTTGGCATCTGAGTCTCAGTCTTGGATCCTTGAGGATTCCTGGGGTCATTCCCAACAGACGCATATGCACTGTGACTATTAAGTTATGTAACTCTGGGCTTTGTCGTGAATACTGGGACAAATCGCTTTCCCTTATAGTTTCTGCGCAGTCTGGACGTGAAGGAGATTTACACCGAGGTGATGCATCAGCTGCCAGACCTAGAGACTCTCACGGTGGAAACGTTCTCGGTAACTTTGCACACCTCAGTGGGATGTTTCAGGATTGTCAAGATGTTGCTGCTGAAGGAGTCTTTCTTTCTTTTTTTCCATTAGGGTAAAGTGGCGCACCATCGCTGGGTGGTCAGTTTCTTGTTCGGTCTGGAAGAGCTTCCATTCCATGAGTACAAAAAGCTGAGGGTGCTTCTGAGAGATTACCACATGCAGGTAGGAGCAGTAACTTCAGCTCACAAGCCCAGCCAGCGGCCCTTAATAACCAGAGCTGAGTGGTAGGCCTTCAAGTGGGCGGTGAGGTGAAGTGGAAGGGTAGATTTTCCACTTGCGATAAGGGACGCGGGGTTTTTTTTTCTTTTTAATGGCATCTCTGGTCCTTGGGATAAACAACGAAATAACTCAGAACCGTAACTTAAAAGTGGGTTGTATTATGACTTGAGAGCGATCGGTATAATTCTGCTTTTAGATAAAATATCAACTACTTCAATACACACTGGGGGTAGTGTGTGGCTCAGCAGGTTACGATGATGTACCTGTGTTGAGAAAGTCGCAGATTTCGCCGTTGAGTCCTTGAGCAAAGCCCTTAACACCCAGTTGCTTCAGGGACTGTCTGACCCTGCCTTTGCAAAATGTATGTTGCTTGGATATCTCTTGGATAGCTACTAGATAAATAAAACCTAAAAAACTTTAATAATGCTCATATAAAAAGCACCGCAAGTGTAAATCGTATGCTGTGCGCATTTCTTTGGATGAAGCCTATACCTAGAAAATAAGATTTTGAGTATTTTTTTTCCAGTTATTTGCATCTGGTCCACAATAAACTGAATTTGAGATTTGAGGTATTATGAGCAGAGGACCAGGACCCCCTAAATGTCTAATGTACCATCTGCGATCCCGCTCAGGTGGGGAAAGTCAACTGCGTGAGGGAGGCCGACCTCTGCAGCTCCTTACACATCCAGAAGCCAAGCATTGCCGTCTTCAAGGGGCTCGGCATCGACAAGTTCGAGATCCATCACGGTCAGCGGGGTCCTTATGATGGGTCTGTTGCTCCGCCCGGATTTGTCGGTTAGATCCGTGACGGTGTTCCTCGTCACCTGTTCAGGGGGCGACCTCCTGTACAAAGTTGCATCCTTCGCCAAGGACAGCGCCAGCTCTCATGTGACCACCTGGCGACCCGGAAACTTCCCTGGTCGTGAGAAGGAGCCTTGGTTGGTGTACTTCTTTGCGCCTGTGAGTATTACAGTCTTCATCAGCCATAAGGAGGTGTTGCCTGATCATCACCAGGTCTCGACTGCCTACATGGAGCATCTTGAGTTCCTCACTTGGTTCCTGGTCATTAGAAGTCATCATATTCCCTCTCTGCCTTCAAGAAACCCCTCAAGACGCATCAGGACGTTCATCAGGAATATCTCTTCTCCTAACTACCACTCTGTGTTCCCTAAATGTTTTTAATGTTGTACATCCTGCTCATTAAATAGTCTTATTAGGTTCTTGCTTTGTTTGCAAGATTATGTGTAGCATCCCCTTGAAGTTCACCCTAGCTATATTTACATATAGCTGACTTCTCGACAGCACGTATGTTTGTAAAGTGCTATTTGTTTCACTGGTACGTCACTTTGGACAAAAGCATCTGCTAGCTTAGCGTTTCCCAATCCAGTCCACAGGGACCCCCGGTCGGTGTTTTTGCTCCCTCCGAGCTCCCTGCCAGACAGTCCACGTTTTTACGGGAACTGGGACGGAGCAAAAATGTTGTGGGTCCCCAAGGACCGGATTGTAAACTCTCGATGAGCTGCCTGGATTTCCTGACGCAGTTCCTGGCTCACCGGGCGCCATCCCTTTTCAGTGGTGCCTGCCATGCCTTGCTCGACTCCCAGAGCTGAGGAAGGCGTCTGTCCAGCTCTTCGGACAGGTGAAGTTTGGCACTCTGGACTGTGCTGCCCACGAGGAGCTCTGCAAGCAGGTGAGCCCAATGGGGTAGGAATCAAACAGAATAATCTGAGTCCGCTTTGCACGTGTAGCATCTGGCAAATGTCGACTAGAAGTTTATGTCCCTATAATGGCTTATAAACATGTCCGCTTTAATCAAGGCGGTCCATCTTAGTGGTCCGACACTCGAGCAGAAGCGTTTGGCGACTATATTGTTTGTCTCGATAGTTTAGCCGCTTCCCCATCCGCCTGTCGCTTGTGATTTTGTCTAGTGGGCTGTGATGCTAAGCAGTGCAGGATGTTCCCGCCGTCCCTGTCAATCCCGGTGTAATGAAGCACAAACAGCAGCGGGGTTAGGCAGAGGAACCAAGAGGAAGCTCTCCGGGGCCTGACAGGGGAAACTGTGTCGTAAATTACAGGGAACATTCTGGAATGCGTGTTCAGCATAGAGCCATCGCTATCTCCGTCAGTTGGAGTCCATTAGCATGATTTCTCTCTATCTAACTCATATGCATGGTGCAGTTAATTTAGGGCCTGCTTTACGGTCCTGACAGAATTATGGAGACAGGTTTGGAGTAACAAATTAAACGGGTCATTGCCATTGGCTATGTCACACCCCCCCCCCCCCCCC